GTCGTCGTCGTAGTAGCAGTACTAGTACTGCTGCAGCTACTACTTAGACTACTGCTGCTACTCCTGCTGCTCTACTACTGCTACTGCTACTGCTACTGCTACTGCTACTGCTACTGCTACTGCTACTGCTACAAGCATCTCGGCTGGCTTTTGTGCCGAGGCGGCGCAACTCTGCGTAGGTCGTGCTCTCGTTAATGCCATGAATTTCCGACTTACTACGCTGAGCTTGCTATGCATCACTCTCATATGCCTTCAGCTGCCAACGGCACCGATGGTGAAAGCAATGCAGACGACTACAACCTCTGGGTCTGGAACCCTAACAAGATGCCGCTCAGTGCGGATGATGAGTACGCTCGCGAATTGCTGGCATGCCCGCGACGCAGCTATCTGTTCTACCACCACATGGGGCAAACAATGCTTCAGAGGGCGCAAGGCTGGCTATCGGATCCAGACTGGTTCCGCGAATTCGACATGCAGTGGATGCACAGCCACTCTGGAGTGGCCTTATGTGCGGCCAGGGCTTCGAAATACCCACCGTATGAGTGGGGACTCTGGCGATGGACGCGACTGCATTTTCCGGTTCTCGTGGCTAGATTCTGGCCGCACGGCGAACCTCGGCCAGTGGATTTTTCTGCCATGGATTAAGCAAGGCGCGGGCAAGTTCACACAGCGTGAGCTGCCACAATTGGTTTGTGCAGGCCGTCGCTACAGAAAATGGACACTTCGCTCCCAGAGAAGGAAACGGTCTTGCCGCAGAAGACTCCGACGTAAACGTCATTTAGCTTTGAGCCCTCACAGGAGATGGATGGCACAGCTGCTCCAGCTGCTTCGGCTGCCGACATCATGTTAGACTGCATCTCTGCCTGTTTCTCCACGCGGTCAGTCACATGTGCAGTATGGAAGCACGATCCTCTGTGTGCATGGCTCAAAATGCTCAGGCTGCCCCAGCACTGGACTACATAGGTCGGCAAGTGCACAGACGACAGGGCCACATGGAGATCAACTCCCCAGCACACTCTCCCGCCGATGGCCGTGATGAGGACGGGCCTGAGGGGACGACTGCCGACATGGTCTCTGAGGGCTCCACAGCCCCCGAAGGAGGCCCTCGCATGGGCCCTCCACCACCGCTGCCTGTCACGGCGTTGCAAGGCTGGTCGCACTTGATTTCAAAAGCCGTGGCGAATGCTCTCGCCAGTGAGGGCTTTGATGGCCGTATCCTTACGCATGTGCCATGGGATGTCCAGAGCCTCCGGGACGTTACGGTCAGAATATCGAGTATGTCAGAGCAGGATGGGAGGCATCCGAATCTCTTGGACTGTCGGCACTGCCCGCTCACACGCTCCATTGCTGAGAGTATGAACAGAGAGGCCCGCACGGTCATGACGGAGGCTGAGCTGGATGAGCTCATCGGGGAGGCGGACCTTGCGGAGCTGATGGAGTCCCCGGAGCCTGGCGGCGATGGCGAAGGGGATGACGTGGTGGAGGCCGCCGACGCGGAGCCACCTTCGAGATCTTCGGGCAGCTCAAACCGGAGAGCGCGCACAAGCACGGCCACGGCAAAGCCGAGATCCACACCAGGTCGCAAGCCGCGACCTCAAGACCGATTGCCGCAGCTCTCTCGGTTAGCTCTGCTGTGTTGGAAGTCTTTTGTCGTTTTCCTGTACACGTGCTCAGGCGGAAGCACACTGATCGGGCATAAGTGGCGTAGCCGTAGGGGTGGTCAGGGGAACTGGATCCTGACTTCTCAGAGAAATGCTTTCATGGATGGGAGCAGGGCTACAATTTTGAGTCGGCTTCTGTGTCGGATGTTGCAAGCGCAGCGGACGCTAACCCAGCCAGTGCGGAAAAACACTGCCTCGGTCCGGAAGATCCAGTCTAGCATTGACCAGTTGCTTGTCTACATACTGTACATCACAATGACAGTGACTACCACATGGCGAGCCAGGTACGGAGAGACGAGGTCATGGACGAGCACTTCGCGAGCTCCAAGGGAGGAGCGGCAGCAAGGGATTCTTGAGTTTTGGCAATGATCTTCGCTGTGGCTGTCAGGAACCAGAAATACTACCACATCGGCATCCCAATGCCGGCGGTGAAGGCCATTGCTCGAGAGGTTGTACGTCTAGTTCACGTTGCAGAAACAGGATGGCACAGAATCACCATTCTCATGAAAGGCTGTTCGCAGCCGACCAAGACCAGCTGGATCGGTCCCAAGTCCGGTCGTACTACCCGGAGGCAGAGAACACACATGTTGCTTTTTCTTCTCATTTACGGTGTGTTGCTGAAGTCTGCAAATGCCGGGGGTGCAGATGTGAGGGTTGGCACTTCATCCACAGCGGTGCCAATAGTTCTCGAACCAAGTTCGGGGGCAAAGCATTGTGGAGAACGGAGGACTAGCACGTCCGTAACCCAGGAACACCTCTCTAGAAGTGGCAAAAGATCATATAGACGTGCCTACGCCAGGGCTTGCAGAACGGGAAGCTCGACTTTCAGAGGACACTGGAGACCATTGAGATGGTTTCAACCGAGACATGTTCCGGAGCAGACAACGGGTCGTAGGACTCACATGCCGGATGGCTCTGGACAAGGATGGCGAGTTCTCAGCTGGAACGCCGGGGGCTTAACTTCTGGTACATGGCAGGAAATAGAAACCTACGCGAGGTTGTACCAGTATGATGCGGTGCTCATACAAGAGACGCATTGGCGTCACGACTCAACGTGGTCGAGCTCAGCTTTTCACTATGTGCACTTCAATTGCCCGTGTGAACCGTACAAGTCCACATGCGGTCAGTGTGTGCTGAACCACAACCTGCTTCACTATCGGGATCATCAGGACTTGCAGAACGTGCTTCGCACCTTACATCTCTGCGTGCTGAACACATGGTGTCGGCCTCAACATGGGCAGTTAGCCACTTTCACTTTCGGCAAGCTTGCCTCACAGATTGACTTCTTGATAATCCGACAACAACACGCTGACGCCAGGGCCCGCAAGGCACAAATCCTGGATCAGTTCCCAGTGGGTGCATGGAGGGAAGGAGCCAATCATCACCCTGTGGTCGCTACACTCACCATGCCTAAGCAGGCTTATCGAGCTCAGCACAAAACAGATACAGTTCCGAAGTTTGATCAGGAGGCCCTGACTCGGGATTTACAAGCTCCACACACCTCGGAGGCGCTGGCAAAGCTTCGGGCGGAGGTGGCGTACAGGGTCACTGGCATACAGGATGTGCATTCCCACTTGATGCAGGCAGCCGCCAGTCATTATCCTTTGACGGTGAAAGCACCACCCAGGCTGGACCAGCCACAGGACCTTGCCAATTCAGCAAAGCACATGTGGGGTTTGTTTCGGCAAATGAGACAGCAGCGGCGCACTGCACAGGGCGTGGTGACGGCATGGCGGCTATGGCAGCAGTTTCAGCAGGCGCACCGTCTGCACAAACAAAAATCGCGCCAACGAACTAGACAGAGACGCGATGATCTCATACAACAGGCCCACGACTCGGCGGCCACCGGCAACTTGTTCGGCCTCTGGCGGGTGGTCAAGCAGCTCGCCCCGAAGGCACCTAGAAAGCGCCTGCAATTGCATCGGGATGGGCGCATCATTAGTACTGAAGAGGAGCTGCAGTGGATACTGGAGGACTACGGTGCCAGATATGGAGCGAATGCCTCAGACACGCCCCCTTCGGTTGACAACAGACTCGATAGGAAAGCAAGCATCGATCCGAATGACCTGACTCATGTGCTACTTCGTCTCCACGCGCGTAAGGCTGTCCCTCGCGAGTGTGCTCCGACCATCCTACTGAGGGCATGCAGCCTACAGATTGCCGATGCTGTGACCGCACACGTGAACCATCAGTGGGCAAAGTCGGTTCCTGAGGTGGAGCAAGGTTGGTCTGACGCGGAGGTTGCACTCCTTCCCAAGGCACATGGGCGGTCGCAGTCACCGCTGGACTATCGACCAATCGGTCTGCAGGACCCGCTCGGAAAGGGCATCATGACTTTGTTGGTCCGGCAGGCAAGGAGGGAGATTATCGCGCTGATCAGCAAATTTCCTCAAACCGCTTATATTCCTGGTCGTAGCACCAGTACAGCTTTGCGGCAGGTGTTCAGTCACTGCTACCGGATCCGAGAGCTCAGCAAGAACGAGCGTTTGACGCTCCACCAAAGGGCGGCCGGACTACAGCAAGAACAATGCGTCGGGGGGCTACAAATAAGCCTTGACTTGAGTGCGGCTTTTGACACAGTAAGGTGGCATCACCTGAAGCAGGCACTGGACCTAGCGGGCACACCGATCCACCTACAAGATCTCTTACTCACATGGCTGGTCCAGGTCCGATATATCTTCCATCACCGCGACAAGACGGGCCTGATATCGCCCAAGTGGGGCCTCAGGCAGGGATGCGTTGCCTCACCCATCTTGTGGGCAGCATTCACCTCACTCATTTGTGTCGCCCTTGATCATCGACTTGGTGAGGCGTGGGTGGGTAACCATGCGGTTCTCTACGCGGATGACACTCACCTGCGGTGGGCCTTCGAGTCCTTTGCCCGGCTTGAAGGATGTATCTCTGAGGCCAGAACGGCATTCAAAGTGCTGCAGAACTTCAATCTCAAGGTCAACTTCGAGAAGACCAAGGCCATCTTGAAGGTTGTTGGATCTCAGCAGGATAAAGTTCGAAAGGCCTATGTGAGATGTCAGGAGCAGACTTCCAGACTCCTGCTCTCCCCAAAGGACCCCTCTTCATGGATATCGCTGGTGCCCCAGACGGAGTACTTGGGCTTGATCATCTCTTATGGATCGTTTGAACTTCAGTCGCTGCGCCACCGTGTCTCCAAAGCCAATAAACGGAGGTGGGCAATGGCCTCGATTTTGCACTCACGCAAAATGGGCATCACATACAAGCTTCGGCTGTGGCGAAGCTGTGTCCTCAGCACCATGACTTACGGGTTGCAGAGCTGTGGAATCACGGGCGACCATGCACAGGAAGCACAGCGATCGATGATGAAGCATGTCCGAGCGATTGTCTCCAATCAGGCGCACCTCACGGGTGAAACGCATGAGAGTATTATGCACAAATACCAGATCAAACCCTTCATTGAGATCATCCGCGAAGCTCACGAACGAGAACAACACACGGCGACAGCTCGAGAGGACTGGATGTGGGATTCGTCATGGCAACAACATGTCAAGGAACAGTTGGAGCGCAGGACTGACCAGTTGATCCATTCTGAGGAGGCTGAGGTGTGGTCGTGCCCCCATTGTGAAGAGGCCTTTGTCTCGTCGGCTGCTTTGAAAACACATGCTAGACGCACACACGGCATCAGAGAAGAACACCAGCACATTTTCAACAAGGCCGAACACTCATTGGGAGGGCTACCGACTTGCCGTTGCTGTGGGAAACAGTTCTCCAAGTGGCAAACGCTCGCGGCCCATATCAATCAAAATAGCTGCCCGGTTCTTATGGCATCAGAGCTTTCGCCGGATACCGCGGATCAGTATTCTAACATGCCAGGCAAGGACAGTGTTGCAGATGTCATGTGCCGCCAATCACAGGTGGTCCAGGCGTCCCAGAAGGGCATCAATGCTTTCATTACTCTTCATGAATGCACACACAAAATGCGACAGACTTGCGTACTATGTGGGCAGTGGAGCACATCTCATAAAACTCTCAAACGGCATTTTCAGTACTCACATGCGGACATCATGGACAAACTTGGGGTTAAGATCAAACAGCTGGTTTCTAAAACGGCCACGGCGAGCCCCACGTGCCACTACTGTTCGGCGAAGTGCAAGGACTGGCGCGCTCACCTGTTGAAGTGTACGGTGGCCTGGCAGTGCTCGTTGCTTGTACTACTTGCACAAGAGGGTCATAGCACGCAGGACCATGGACGATTCGTTGAACCGAGTTCTTCGGGGAAGTGAAGGTCGAACAGGAAAGCAAGGCAAACAAGCGGAGGAGACCGGAAGAGGGAAGCCAACGATGGAACCAACAGGGGACCGGAAGCCGCAACGAGGACTCATTACTAGTTTCTTTGGCCAAGCTCACGCTTCGTCAAGAGGAAGAACTACTAGTTCTCAAACAAGATCACTCGCTGGTCCTGTTCATGCGGCCGGGCAAAGACTCGGTACTCCACTTCCTGTACCAGACGGCGACCTTGTACAAACAGAAAATCAAGGAGATGCCGACATGGGGAGCCAACTTCCAGCCACCCAGGGCCGTCCTAGCGCTGGCACTCTTCAAAGAATTGGCCACCAGATTGGAAACCACCCTAGGGGACCCCAACAAGCTCAAGGAGGTCAAGGACCTAGGATGGATCGACGAGCAGGGGAGATGGAAGTAC